AGGAGGAGGAGGAGGAGGAGGAGGAGGAGGAGGAGGAGGAGGAGGAGGAGGAGGAGAAGTTCATAATGAGTTTTTCTCAGGAAAAGACAAATTTAAAATTTAACATGCCAGGATATCTGTCACAAAGCCAAGAGAAAGACCCCAAACCAAAACTCTCAACAAACTTGACACTAGCTAGGACCATGCTTCCATATTCCTTATTCAAAGGAGAAACATCAAACTAATGTGATTAGTACTAAGGTGATCAGTAGGACATTTCCAGATCTCCCAGCATATCCCCCTGTGACCATTAGCATACACCTACGGAGCCACACTCCCACCTAACCTCTCACACTTTCCTGGGAAGTTTTGCTCCTTATAATAAGCTGATATACTTTCAATAATAGAAGAGAACTGCAGAAAGGAATAAATACCAGAGGAAAAAGAAGTACAAAATGAGCCGGGCCACAAGAGGCTAGCGGCATTTATCCAAACAAAAGAAATGGGTCAGGGAGCCTTGTAGCAGGGAATGGTAAAAGACCAACACAGAGATCTCCAGCAGTTGTGTAACAGACAGGCCAGGGAGATGGTTCATCAGGGGATTTCCACACAAACCTGACAACCTGAGTTTGAGTCCCAGGACACACAGGAGGCTAGCTGGGCTATGCAGCTTCAGAAATAAAAATAGACCTCAGACCTCCAACATGGTGGGAGGAGAGCACTAACTCCCCAAGTTCTTTGACCCCTACAGGCACACACATCCAAAACTAAATAGATAAACTTACTTTAAAAGTGTAATAGTTTTGAAATCCCCTCTATGAGAAAAGCTTCATGTGTCTGGAGGGGTAAGCTGCAAGAGTTAATTCTATAAATGACATTCACGTTTTTGTTTTAACAAGAGATTTGAGTCGAAAATAATGACAAAGACAAATTAGGAAACTTTTGAATTAATCAAAATAATGAGGATGAAATGTGTAAGGAAGGAATTGAAGAGTTTAAACTGAAGGGTGGGGAAAGACTTGAGGATACTGGGTTAATCAATGTCATTCCTTTTCTAGGTTCGCAGCAGCCTTGGCTTGAACATCACCAGCTCCGTGTTTGCCTTCTCAGGGATTGTAATCACTTCACTGAGTCCAGGAATTTTCTCTTACTTTTTTTATGGCTGTACATATAGAAGCTCATCAGAAAGCTCAGCAGAAAACTGTTACATGACCATGTTCATTTTAATGGTGCGTAGTTTCTATTTTCATGCAGTTATAGTTGAAGCAAGACGGGGGCAAACTGATTCGGACAAAACCAGGAGTAACACTCCTCCATTGTAGAATTACCTTCAGAAGTTAGAAACCAAAGAGAAATAGATGGATCATTTAAGAATGAGAGTCACATCTCATTCACACTAATTCACATTTTCCACTATTACACTCCCATGTACAATGAGAGCAAAAGAGAGGAAAATACAGGGAATCAACATTCTCACTCCTTTCAGAGGACATCTGTGACAGGCCCCCGTCCTGTTCCCTCTTTTCCACCACTTCCACTATCTAGCCTGTTCGCCCTTCCAATTGAGAACATTAAACATCCTCCCTTGGCTTTCTTTAGCTTCTTTAGGTTATTTAGCTTCTTTAGGTCTGTGGATTTAAGTATGGTTATTCTATATAAATGTTATCTGATAGACACCCCCCCCCCCCGAGCAGGGCATTGAAGCAACTACAGAGACTCACAGCCAAACTTTGGGAGAATGCAGGGAGTTTTATGGAAGGGGAGGGTAGGGAATAGAAGGACCCAGAGGGGATAGGAGCTACCAAGGAGATCAACAAAGCCAAAAAAAATCTGGGCCCAGGGTGTCCTGCAGAGACTGATACACTAACCAAGGACTATGCATGGAGAGGACCCAGACCTGCTGCTCACATACAGCCCATAGGCAGCTGAGTCTTCTATGGGTTGCCTTTGTGGGTTGTCCAGTAAGTGGAGCAGGAGCAGTCTCTGACATGAACCTGTTTCCCCTGGTGGGGCAGCCTTGTCAGGCCACAGAGGAAGAGGATCCAGGCAATCCTGGCAATCCTGATGAGACTGGATAGGCTAAGGTCAGATGGTAGTGGACGAGGACTCCCCCTTTCAGTGGACTAGGGAAGGGGATGGGGGGCAGAAGGAAAGGGCGGGACTGGGAGGAGATGAGGAAGGGTACTACAGCCGGGGTACAAAGTGGATGAATTGTAAAAAATTAAATAAATAAATAAGAAAATCTCCATTTCTTATGCACAATAAACTGCAATGTCTTTAATTCCAAGTTAAAGTTCATGAATCTTGAGCCCTATTTATTTACACCAAAACATTTGCCTGAGGGACGTTGATAACTAATTATTCCCTTGAGCATTTAAAAAGTCTTTAGAGTAAACAATTTAATCTCCAGCTACTTAACGAAAACGAGATACCAGTGTTTAGTGATGGAGCAGTTTTCTAAAGTCACCCAGAAACTGGCAAAAATAAGACCTGGAATCTCCTTCCTATAACCCACCTATTCTCTGTAGTTATTCTGATTAAGAATTTTGCTTGCTGTATCTGAAGGTGTGTTACCTTGTAGACACCCAGAGTGCAGTGATACAAACTCAGCTCTGAAATGTACAGCTGTGTAGGATGGGTTTTTTTTTTTTTTTGCTATGGAGCCTGTGACCTCACATAATAGTTCGTGCTTAAAGTAGCCCTGGTTTGCTCTAAGCTCCGTAGCTGCTTTCTTCACATTATATAATGGAACCTTCATTCATCACAAACAGCCATCTTCTAGTGAAGGTCATAAAATCTTCTGAATTGTGTAAGTCTTTGTGTGTGTGTGTGTGTGTGTGTGTGTGTGTGTGTGTGTGTGTGTGCTGCTTCACTTTATGTCAGATGATCTCCATAAGCTTGAAGTGCCAAGTATGAATACCTGGGCACAAGTGGCGTAATTTCACAAACTGTGAAACACATGCACATTTTTGCATGTTGTGTTTGTGTGTGGGGTGCATGAAAATATGTATTCATGTTCTTATAAGTGTCTGTGCCAATACATGTGTGTGAGTGTGTGTGTGTTGTGTGTGAAGGCCAAAGTTTTTCTTGATTGCTCTCCACTTTAACCCACAGCTTTCAGATTCAGTTTGTCTAGCTATTCTTCTTGTTCCAAAAACCCCCTGTCTGTTTGTGGGGATTGAACGCAGGCCATCATGCCTACCTGACATTTATGTGGGTGCTCTGCATCTGACCTCTGGTCCTCAGGCTTACACGGAAAGCATTTTACCCACCAAGCCATCCCAAGGCCGTGGGGCACATACTTTATGTGAGATCTCAGGGTTAGTACTGTGAGAGTTAAGAAGCAGCTCTCTTAGTTAAAAAAGTTTTCATCTTCTTGGGAGAAAAACACACATTATCAAGCATGTGATTATACCCAAAGAGGTCAGAAAAAGTGAGTCCATCGTAAGAAGGAGCAGATAGAGATCTTACCGTGTGAAATAACTGAACTGTACCACATAAGATGAGCAAGACTAAGCTACAAGTGGCCTAGAAAGGTCACAGTTTCATAGGGCTTAAACTAATACATGTGCTTCAAGAAGTGACAGAATATGCAACATTTAGAAAACTGGGAATGGGCAAAGAATTGGGCTGTGTCAGAAGCCGTGTTCTCACACTCTCGGGCAGTGCCGCCACCCTTTCAGTGTAGAAATGTTTAAAACATGTGATTTGATGACGACTCTTCACATGCCTGTGTTATGAATTGTTGGCAGGGTCTGGATATTGTGATAGTCATTTTAAGTGTGCTGGAATTCTGCATCGGCGTGTCCCTCTCTGCCTTTGGATGCAGAGTGATGTGTTGTAACCCCGGTGAGGTAAGTTTTGCCTTTCATTTCAATATGTTCTTCATGTTCTCTGTCGCTCTGCAATAAATCACACAAAGAAGTTTAACATAATTCTCCATAATCACCTCTCAGCTCCCATGGGTGAAGAATGGGCTCTGAAGCTTCAGATTCCCTTATATAGTCATGTGACAGAATTCACATCCTCTGTAGTATAGAGATTATGACAGAATACTTCTTTGAAGATACCAAGGGAACCCATGTCCTGAGTTCTTTTGGGTTCACACAATTTGAACAGGTTCACTTAAATATTGTTGTTGTTAAATGACTCAACTGATCTATGACCTACTCACAGGTATAATATCCTATTTTATTCATGGGTCTCATCCACACTCAAGGGTCACTGAGGGCCATCTAGGATTTTTTAAAAATTTTGTTCAAAGTAATATAGTTTTACTCTCCTTTTTCTTGCAAGTGACATTGCCTTAGAGTCCAAACCAGAGAGCAGTCTACATCTTAGAAATCCACGAAGGGTTCAAGATTTACTCCACTTTTTTTTTTTAAATCCCAGAAACCTTCCCTGGCTACTGAAAAATCATCAGGGATAAGACTTCTCTGTCACTTGATATCCACCTGGGCACTGTCTTCCCCTGAAACTTGTAGCAGATCCTTCTGGTTGCTGATCAGGAAGACGATCTCACATGGTGGAGAATGAGAAAAGAGACAGAGAAGTAGGGCAGGGGTGTGACCATTGTGTTCTTTAAGTATTGAAGACTCAAGAGTGAGTTAGAGGCTAGTAAAACCCCATAGTTGCTCAATAATCTCATTGCCCAGAGGCCCAGGGATGGACAGGACTCGAAACCAATAATAAAGTGATAATAAAATGATAAGGTCATTGGGTGCCCATCTTTATCCTTTCATCCCTCTTTCTGAGACCTCCCAGGAAACACCACCAACAGGCTCAATCTAAAGAAGAGCATTGGACTAGATCATAACAAAGCTTATACTGGCTTTTCAATTTAAGGTCCTAGAGTTGTAAGTTACTTGGGTATTATTGAAGTTTTTGTGATTTCATTGACTGATGAAGTACTTCTGGATAGGCAAACTCCTTCATACCCTTCAGACCTTAGTACTTACTGAAAAGATCAGCTCAGGAAACCCCAAGACCAAGTTCTCAGCACAAAGGAGATCTATTTGCCCCAGAGGGACAAAGGTCAGTGAATAAGTGACAATGACAGAAGATAGAGGAAAAGAGAGTAAGGGAAGGAACAAGAGAGAGGGGTAAGGGGTATTTGTTATGAGGGAGGAGACAAAGGCTTGCCTCTGAATAGAGGAGACAGATGTGGCACATAGGAAAATGGCAATTTACAAAGGCACAAGGGAAACCCCGTGTTAGAATGAGGTGTTTAATTAGATATGTTTAATTAGGTGAGCCAAAGGGGGCTTTTGATTGCTGGACCTCAATACCTTAATAGAGGACCGTGGTAGTCAGCCTCAGGAGGGGGAAGTGACCAAACAAGAGCATGTACCGTGGTGGCAGGCTTTAGGAATATAATCTGAACAGTTTTTAACAAGACAGAAGGGAATGGGGGAGAAGGGCAAGGCCTGCCCGAGCCATTTTGGCTATGATCGAGTTGGCTAGAGCCCCTTCCCTTACTATATGAAAGTCTGTGCTTCTTGTGAACTCTACAATAGTAGTAAAACTGAGAAGGGTTGCCCTCGTGCTTTCTGAGTCTAGACATGCAATAGCACCTAGTATATAGTCCAAGCCTCATATTCTCTGGAATATTCAACCATTCCTCTCAAACTCCATGTCACATGACTTTTCAGAACACGGATGAACACTCTCCATGTTCCCAGGGCGCTTCCTGCCACTCTGAGCCAGTCCGCTCATCCTCGTGCTTTTTGCATGGCAACCAAGTCATGACTGGTGTATGTTTCTTCCATCATCCCTGGCAAATCACTTGGGGAAAAGAGCTCTGTATTCGGTGTAAAACACCATTATAAGCACACTCACTGATACTCTCACTCACACTCACATTGTTACACTCTAAGACTCAACAGCACCCAGGAGCTTCTAAAGAGCAAATTTTTCCAACTGAATGTGTGCCCTACTTACAGCCTGATCAAGGGATGCCTGAGGAATCCGTGATTGATGTGAGATTAAATTCTGTAGTGACAGGGTGAACATTGGTAGTGATTGCACTATGTGGGTAAAAGGAGTCCCTGAGGACCTGTGAATGACACAGTGACATCTGATTAACTTTACAGGTTGTGATAATTATGCCATCAAGTCCTCCCACGGCAGAAACAGCATATCCGAAATCACTTCGAGAAGGTTTGGTGCCATCAGCACACCAAGAGAAAAATGTTCCAGAAAATCTGCACTGATTTTTCTTTTCAATAACCACACGTGGGAAAGCACCAGACTCCATCTCTGATGCATGTGGCCATGTGTGTGCGTGCGTGCATGAGTGTATGTGTGCCTGTGTGTGTGTGTGTGTGTGTGTGTGTAGAATTCTAATGACATTCTCATGTTTCTCCAGGAAGTTGGCAGATCATTTCACTGGTTCTCCATAAGAGTATCAGAACATAATCAATAAACCATCCATCTACTGGCTAAATAACACGTGCACATGTTTTATTCATCCTTCCTGCCTTCTAATAGTATTTTAAGTAAGCAAAAACAAAGACTGTAAACAGATGGAATGGTTTTGAACATGTGATATTTTTCTCACAGATTACATGTTTCTGCTACTTTGTCTAATGCTCTTTCAGTTTGTCTAACTTTGTGTTTGTTTGTTTGTTTGTTTGTTTGTTTTTTAATTAAGAGATGTATTTTTTTTCCTCAAGAAGTGCAGAAACATGAATTTTGTTTCTTCTTTGGGTCCTATTTCTTTGCACAAAATAGCAGAGCCAATGTTCGCATGTGTCCAAGCGAGTGTACTTCAGCACATAAGTCAACTTAGTTTTCTCTCTCCCCCCTACCAAGCAGGTGATACCTAACTAAACTCCTATCTGGTGCTATGTATGTCAGTACATGACTAAAAATATGTATTGGGTATGAGTAGATGTATTTTTTAAGATATTTTATTTGGGTTCTTCTATTTCCCACCCTTCTCACCCCAATCCCTTCCAACCCCCTAACACTAGGTAGGCGAGAAAGAAGGTTAGAGGGGAAAAGGGACGTAGACCTCTTTAAACTTCCTGCTGATTAGGGTCCCAGGGTTCCTAGGGGCAAGCCCAGTCTTCGTCAGAATACCCAGCAGTCCAGCAAGAGCAAGTGCAACAGCAAACACAGTAGCAGGGGCAGCAGCATGGGGGGAGCAGCAGCTGCCATGGCCCCTCTTGGGGCTTTCCCACCAATGCCCTCTCCGACATACCCAGAATTAAACTTTCTGCAGCTGGCAAAGATTATGCCCCTGCTAATGCACAAGGCAAAACATAATCACCTGCTGTGAAGCAGTCTCTTATCCTGCACCTGGGTGTTACAGAAAACACGAACGATGGCTAACGCTTATTATTAAATAGCAGGATTATCTAACTGATTATCAAACCAGTGAAGACACAGACACCAGGTAGATTTTTAGAATAGCCTTATTTTACCTGGGGCTGGGCAGATATTAATTCCTAAGCTACCTAACTTGCTCCCAGCCCCCATTCCATGCCAGTTGCTTTAGGAATGTCTATCTGGGCTACTTCCCATCTACAGTTCCGTAAATACTCGCTTATTCTTCTCATCTGGGTTGTTTTTCTCCGTCCGCATCAATCTGGCCATGTGCCTCTCTCCACACTAACCCGTTGTGGCTCTGCCTCCTTCCTTCCCCTCTACTTCCCTCTTCCTTCTGTGATCCTTCTGTCTCCAAGGCCCAAGAACCTCAGCGCCACCCCTCACTTTTGCCCTGCCAAGGTGTAGGCCTTTTATTCAGTCAATCAGCGATAATTTCTTAGGCCAGGTTACAAGCATCATTTTGGGGTAGGTGAGTGTCTGCTTGTAAAAGACAGCAACCAGACCTCGGGGGATGGGGATGGGGGGCCAAATAATTAACAATCAAATACAAGGCACCAGATCATGCTGTTACATCTGGGATTAAAACAAAAGCCTATTACATAACATAAGAGGGTTTTGAAAGAAACCAAAACTCTCACTACAGATATGCATTAAACATGTTTTATTTTTGGTTGCAGAAAAAAAAAATTAAGTTAGAAGTGTTCCATCTGTGTGCTACCTACTTTCCATTCACAGGTGATATTAGAGAAAATAATGTAAGTTATAAGGTTGGAAAATGTAGCAAAATGGTAAGGCACGTGGAGTTTCTGGCACACCACACCATGATTTTTCACCTTGAGAATCACCTTTTTCTGTTCCTCTGAAAACCACAGAAATACAGAAAAAAATCCTCTGTGCCTCATGCCTCTCTTCAGGAAATGACTAAGAATGCCACTGAGCTCACTGGACTATTGTCATGCGTAGTCATACACACAAAGGAAATAACATACTCTGGTGTGTAAAAACAAATCAGGAACAAAAAGTACATATCTAGGACATGGTTTTACAAACATGTACAAAAATGCGTATTTGGTAGAGCAGATAAGACGGCCAGCACTCTGGCTATCACATACTGTGCCTCAGAAGTCTATTTTATGACTTTCCAAAATTACCATACAGAGCAACGAGCTTTGCTGTGGCACTTTCATAAACACTTGGTTTCACTTATCTTTCTCCCTGCTCTTCTCCCTGTTTCGCGACTCTCCTCCAAACCCTCTTCTCCTCGACCCCAAGAGCTTCCATTCTTTCATATCACACCTATTCTGTTACCTCCCCTCCCCATGTTTTTCAGCGGATGGTGATTAATATAGAGACTCACAGTTGGTCAAAGGGCAGAATACAAATGTTTCTAGGGTGTTCAGGCATAAATGGAACATCTGTATCACAGTTTCCCACCCAGGCTCAGGAAACATTGTGGAAGCAGGACCAGGAGACTAGTGCCAGAGGTATAGGGAAACTGAGGCAAAACAGAGTCTTCTAGACATGACAGGGCTGTAACACTCATGAACTCATATATACTGTGATTGCCTGCTGAAGACCTGCATGAGAGCAAACCAGTCAATATTCTAGCATGGATTGAAGAGGAGCACACAAACCACCACCTATAAAGTAGCCCTTGCCAGCAACTGATGACTGTCAACAGAGAAGAATCAGTTTTCCCGAGGGATGAGTCCCTAAGTGGTTATCCAATACTAAGCGGTTAGCCATGAAGTCTTATACATGCAAGAAATACTAAATGGACTCGATGCATTATGTTTAGATATTTATGATATTACAAAAAGCATATCATAGAAAAAGACACTATGATCAAGGGGGGACAGGAGAAGGATTGGAGAGAGGGGACATGGGAGGGGTTGGAGAAACAAAAGGAGAGAGGGGAAGTAATGCAATTATATTTTAATTATACATATGAATGAAGAAATAACATACTCTGATGTGGAAAAACAAATCAGGAATAAAAGTACATATCTTGCATAAAGAAAGAGAGTACTGGTGGAAATTGAAAACATCTATAATATTACTCTCCTTTAGGCCCAAGAAATCACATAACTATGCTAGTATCAGACTTGAACTGCCAAATATAAGTGAGTAACCCTCACCACGGACTCAGAAGGATATATATGTAAATAAGTAGATATATACATTATATATATGTATATATAATGTATGTGTGAGTTTTACAATAAAGAAGAAGAGGTCATAATTTGAGAGGACATGGGAGGGACATGAGAGGATTTGGAGCGGGGACAGAGGGGTGGAAATAATGTGATGTAGTACTCATATATATGTGAGATGCTAAAAAAAAATAAGATCACAAAAAGAAAAACCAAAATAGCCAAAAAGAAATGGTAATGGAATCCTTCCCAATCTGATTATAGTTGCAAAACACTAATAAAGATAGAATCAGAGTGATTTTCTTTCTTTTTTTTTTCTGGTTTTGCAGTTTTATTTCTATAATATATGATAATTATGTTGCTCCATTACTCAAATGCTGTTTATAGTGTTTGTGCTTATGCACCTAAATAAAACCATCTATATTTTACTGAATCAGTGTGAAACTTTTTTTAAAATTCTTTATTAATTACATTTTATTCACTTTGTATCCCCCCTGTGGTTCCCTCCCTCCCTCCCATCCCAATCCCTCCCTTCCTCCACCCTCTGCATGCATGCCCCTCCCCAAGTCCACTGATAGGGGAGGTCTTCTTTTCCTTCCTTCTGATCCTAGTCAATTAGGTCTCATCAGGAGTGGCTGCATTGTCTTCTTCTGTGGCCTGGTAATGCTGCTTCCCCCTCAGGGGAAGGTAATTAAAGAACAGGCCAATCAGTTCATGTCAGAGACAGTCCCTGTTCCTATTACAATGGAACCCACTTGGATACTGAACTGCCATGGGCTACATCTGTGCAGGGGTCTTAGGTTACCTCCATGCATAGTCCTTGGTTGGAGTATGAGTCTCAGGAAAGACCCCTGTGCTCATATTTTTTGGTTCTGTTGCTCTCCTTGTGGAGTTCCTGTCCTCTCCAGATCTTACTGTTTCCCATTTCTTTCATAAGATTTCCTGCACTCTGCCCAAAGATTGGCCGTAAGTCTCAGCATCTGCATTGATAGTCTGCAGGACAGACCTTTCAGAGGTCCTCTGTGGCAGGCTTCTGACTTGTTCCCTCTTTTCTCCTTCTTCTGATGTCCATCCTCTTTGCCTTTCTGGATAGGAATTGAGCATTTTAACAACAGTCCTCCCTCTTGATTAGTTTCTTTAGGTGTACAGATTTTAATAGGTTTATTTTATGTTTTATGTCTATATGAGTGAGTATATACAGTGTGCATCTTTCATGTGAGCTTAGATTCCAAATTCATGTTCTTAATTTCTGTGCTATTACCTCAACCAAAAAATTATCCAGAGGTCCTGTCATTCCTACCAAGGACAGAGCTTTACCAATACACCTCTTAATCAGTTCTGCTTTGAAATCTCTTTACTCAACAAATATCTATTAAGGATTCTACATGAAACAGGGCTGAGAGTGTAGCCATTGAGGTAACTGAGGCGTCTATGGCCCCATAGAGCTGGTATTTTAGCTGCTTTTCTAGGCTTACTCTTCAGCAGGCAATTTTGGCTCATCCAAAGCAGATTGCTCAATTCTAACTACTTACTAACAACAAAACTTAGCATACTTCCCAAAGTTCAGGAATTTTCCCTTATTAGAAGAATAATATATATTTAGTTCATTTTTCCCCTGTGTTTTACCCAGGAATACAATCCCACCACAAAGCATTATCCTTGGGGGTGTGGTGACAAAGAGACAAAAAGACTGTGGTTTTGTAGCATACCAGCGAGTCCTTATGACCTCTACCGGAAGACTGAGCCAGAGATTCTCACGCGATGAAGGAAAATCTTTTTATCTTTATTAGAGCCTGAGAGCCCCCATGAGGGTTGGGAAACTGGTCCCCACAGCCTCCCCATCATGGGGTCATAGGGAGTGTCCTGCGTCTGTGTGGCACCCTGTCCTTGTCCTTACGTGTAGAAGTGGAAGAGGAAGGAGACACCTGTGAGTCATTTCCTCGTGTTTCTCATACAG